GTTTTGTTAATGTTAAACACATTTAACTTATACACAAAGAATAACATTTAATTTGTGCTTCTTATTAAGAATTATAGTTTTACCATAAATTCAATTTTGTATTTAAATTAATTTTATATACAATTCTGTAAATATTTTATTAGATATAATAATAAATAGTATGCAAAACATTGATTACCTGGAGATATGATACAAATAATACAAACAATAATTGTGGTGATAAGGCATTTATGGGACGGAATATTATATTTCATAACTAATCAAAAAAGTTTGGACTGATTATAATAAATGATACAAATATTTAAAAGTGAATTGAAATATAAAAATGCAATCAACGAAATGAGCGCTCAAATGGATGTAAATGAAGGAAAAGGTGTATTGAAATAAAGTTGGTTTCTGTTGTCAAAACACCTGTAATATAGCATTGCTGTGATCGTGAAAAGGCATACCTGTGTTCCATCATAACTACCTATGTTTGTGATACCTGTGCTCTCCAGACAACGCCCATCACCACTACTGTACATGCACAAATATATGCATTTTTATTGTTTATATTTCCAATAGTTTTCACTAATTGTGTGATTCCATCATAACTACCTATGTTTGTGATACCTGTGCTCTCCAGACAACGCCCATCACCACTACTGTACATGCACAAATATATGCATTTTTATTGTTTATATTTCCAATAGTTTTCACTAATTGTGTGTCAATTGTTTATATTATTTATATAGACAATCAAATCACAACATTTATTTGTGGACACATTGCACTATTTGATATGACATAACATTTTAATAGTTACGCAAAACTTTTTCTATTTATTGATGCAATTAAAAGTTTTTAAAATTCAATGGATTCTTACGTCTATTTGTTGCCAAAATAATAATAACAATTAATAATAATTGTTGTATCAGTTTATATATTCAATTTACAATCTACTAGACATAGTTTGATAAATAATTATGAAAATAATTAGTATCTTAAATAAATTAATATCGGTTTGTGTATTATTATCAGTAGTAAAGTGTGGTAAGTATTTGAATCCAATTGGTTTGATTGCTTGATGTGTATCTCTCATGGTTTTGATGAATGATTGCAAGGAATGGCCATAAAGTGCTATCAATGCAGCTCTGATGAGGATCCCAAAGGCGAAGACAATTGTGGCGCTTATCAACCCTTCGACCAAAACAAGAACATTGCCGTCGAATGCATGGGAGAGGAAGCTCTCACTCCCGGTATTAGCGCAACCATTACCACTATTACCATCAGTCATGTTTACCGCAATACTATTAATCATTGCAATTAGTGATCAATATATAAATTACTACATTATTACATTAAGCAAATTTTTGTTTAATTCAATTATTTTCTTAACTTATGGTCTATTAATTTAATTGATTAATTTTAACAACCAGTATATTGTTACCAATATAACCACAAATTTAGTTTAATTTATTTACAATAAGTAATTACTGTAATACAGAATTAAATATTCTTCACTAACTTAGAAATAGATTAGTAACATTTTTTCGGGCTAATGGCCATATACTGACCTACGCTATTCGTCCGAACATTTCATGTATGAATGTTTTAGCATATGTCAGATGTTACACAGAGGTGACATTTATAAAATGAGTGCTTATTATTAAAGTAATAAGTTATTCCTGATCATAGCTAGAACATTGATACATGAAATGTTCGGGCGACTACCGCAGGTCAGTATATGGTCATTAGACCGAAAAAATGTTACTAATCTATTTCTAGTGCCCTAAACAATGGTCATATCGGCATGAATTACAATTATCTTGCGGACAGATTTAGCATATTGTTGTTAGTGTAGTTTTAGCGTATATCTATTATTGCCAATAAATAATTGATTATAAATATTCGTAAAAAAATTTTTGTTTAATTCAATTATTTTCTTAACTTATGGTCTATTAATTTAATTGATTAATTTTAACAACCAGTATATTGTTACCAATATAACCACAAATTTAGTTTAATTTATTTACAATAAGTAATTAATACAGAATTAAATATTCTTCACTAACTTAGAAATAGATTAGTAACATTTTTTCGGGCTAATGGCCATATACTGACCTATGCTAGTCGTCCGAACATTTCATGTATGAATGTTTTAGCATATGTCAGATGTTACACAGAGGTGACATTTATAAAATGAGTGCTTATTATTAAAGTAATAAGTTATTCCTGATCATAGCTAGAACATTCATACATGAAATGTTCGGGCGACTACCGCAGGTCAGTATATGGCCATTAGACCGATAAAATGTTACTAATCTATTTCTAGTGCCCTATAAACATGTTTATAAACAATGGTCATATCGGCATGAATTACAATTATCTTGCGGACAGATTTAGCATATTGTTGTTAGTGTAGTTTTAGCGTATATCTATTATTGCCAATAAATAATTGATTATAAATATTCGTCAAAAATAAACAATGGTCATATCGGCATGAATTACAATTATCTTGCGGACAGATTTAGCATATTGTTGTTAGTGTAGTTTTAGCGTATATCTATTATTGCCAATAAATAATTGATTATAAATATTCGTAAAAATGATTGAATAACTAATAACAAGTAACATTAATGTGTACATTTCATTTCAGGCACATTTTGTTTTAAATCCATAAAACAGGGGCCGAGAGGTTTCATTTGGGACGGCAGGTGGAGGACTGTTATCAGACGCTGCGCTCAAGTCAGCGAAAGAGGTCATTAAAGTCCTATTCATTGATTGAACGCAACTTTATTAAAACTAATTACATTTAATTGAATCTCAAATGGTATTTAGGTATCTCTTGGGGCTGTGATTGGGGTTATAATGATAATGGCGTTTATTGGGAGGAATGTTATTGCGCTGAAGATTCATGCAATGGTTCCCAAAATGTTGTCATCTCATTGTCCGCGTTTATGATTGTCTTTTTATCGCTCGTATTCACACTCTTTGGTCGCATCTATTCATAAATAAGTCTTTAATCACATGAAACCGAATGCGGTTTAACTTATTATAAGTTATAACAGTAAATGAATCTCAACTAAAGATCAAACATTATCTGACAATAGTTTTCTATCTTTTTAATATTTTTTGTATAAACCTATTTTACACAACTTTTAATAAATAAATTTCATTTATAAATACATTTGTTTTAATTTTCAACGTAAATTTTCTAATATTTTCATTTGATATTTTGAATCTCTTTTTTCTAATACAACAGTGTATTTATATAAATATTAATGAATTAGTTTTTAATTGAATTTGTTTTAACCAATTTTAAGAATAATTAATTTTAATAAAATGTATATTTTATAAATTATGATTTTATCTATTTAAATGAGTAATTAAATTTATTTTGATTTTAAAATTAAACATAGTTTGACTTTAACTGACAATTAATTAATATCGAAGAAATAATTTTAAAATTTATTAAGAAACATGAATTATACAGTTTATGAATAGGTATTTATTTACTTTAATTATTATATAAACAAATTATAAAGCTTTATTAATAGCATTTTAAAAATCAATCAAAATATATTATAAAATAATATAAATTTAATTAAATGTAAATAATATACAGTACATTTACTATAAAAATTTACTTTTTTAGCAAATAACTATGGTGTAAACATTGTTTATTATTTTAGAACATGTGTTATTGAATTTAGAATTTTTTAAACAATTATAAAGTATATTAAATCTAATCTTAATATTTACAACAAATAATAAAAAATATAAATAACATTAAATTCCATCTTTTAAATTAAATTAGAAGATAAATGTTATTTTCTGTTCACTCCTTCCCCAGAATAGGTAAGACCTATTGTTCTCAATCATGTTTAATGTAACATTTGGTGCAAACCTTTACATTTTATTCGTCAGTAAAGGTGTATTATTTCAAATCAAATCAATTTATTTAAAGTGTAGAGTAGTCATCTAAAAGATGATGTTCTTTACAATGCACTTAATTAATATTAAAAATATATAATTAAAAAGTATAAATATAAAATGGTTTTAAAAAATGTTCATTAAAGAAGGATAGCCGCCCCTAATGCATAGCTGGCCCCGCTGGCCTGGTCACCATTTAACATAATATGAATTATTTGCAATGAGAGGTCCTTAGATAAAACAAAAGACAAATCA